GAAGCGCACTAACAGGAAGCACTCAGCTTCCAGGAAGCACTCCCTCCCTTTCTTCTCCATGCTAATGAGCTCTTAAAAGGCCTCAGACGATAAATTTCGCAACGTTTCGGACCTGCTGACAAGATCTCGATGCGTCGAAACACCCTCAAAAGCGATCCGGCAACACTGCATCCGGATCCGGCAACACTGAAAACAGAAGCCCTAATCGATGGGTCAAGACCCCATCGATGAATCTCGTTGCCCCCAATAGACACCCGAGACTCACGATAAGCATTATCTCGTCACGAGACCGATCGATGAATTGACCGTGAAAAAATTACGCAGCGAACTCACCGAGTCGAATGGAGAGACATCTACCGAGGGGGAAGCGAATCACGGCATGGGGGGGGGCAGGGGGGGCGGGCCCCCGCCGGTTTTCTTCAGGATTTCGACCGGTCGTGATCCGGCCACGCTTCGCGGCTGAATGCGTTCGTCCAGACGGTAATAATTAGGCTATCGAAGGCGGTTCAGGTGGTGATTAGGCCATCGAAGGCGGTCGGGTCGACGAAGCAGCTCGCAGTCGGTCGATCCTTAACGATCGGGGGATTTCCAGACACGCAAGCCTTGTGTTTCCTCTCGCTCACTGGAGTATGCAATCTCAAGGTCAGATCTGAGACGCCCCTAGTTGCAGGATGGTCTCGTTAGATGCGCTCTGCGTGTTTTGAGCAGGGTTGCGCGGGCGTGGGGGCTTGCGTCGCGGTTTTCTCTTGCGAGTCCGAGAGCCCTTGTTTGGTAATTAATTTAAAGGGTATTATTGGTGAGTGGAGGAGTTGTTGAAATTTAGGGCGTGATTGGTTTGGTTCGAATTCTGCGATGACTCGGCAGTGATGCAGCACGTGATGAGTCTCGTTATGGCAACCCTGTCGGAATCAATCAGGGGCGTGTGCGCCGTGGCCTCGACACGTGCGTCTCGTGTGATGAGAACGGACGAGAAGGAAAACTTCGCCGAAAGGGACATAAATCAGGATCTGTTTTGACTGAAGGCCTCGATGGGAGGCTTTCTTGATGGAGTGCTTCCCGGGGCTTGGTCACATAAACCAAGTCAGGCCTCGCGAAAGTGACAGGCGATGGGCCCAGGAGATGGCATAGGTCGTGGGTTGGGGAAGGGCCTGCGAAATCCAATATGGCTCGTGTTTGCTGAGAAAATATCCTGTCACTTCGACGGTGTGGGCTGGCTAACGGGCTGCTCTCTATCTTTGAGTGCTGCCACTTCGATCTGCTCTGAGGATCGGTGAAAAATGAGGCGTGGCTGACGAGTCAGGTGATGGGTCTCTCTTTGCTTTTCTGGTTAGGCCATGTCATGAATTGAAGCTTCACACTGGCTGGAATAAGCTTTGGCCTACTGGGCTTCCGGGTCCTTTTGACAGGCCTATTAGAAGATCGATGATCAGGTCCTAAAGCATGAGATTCTGGAATTTCATGTATCAACATGAAAATTTTTGCAGTTGAGGAAAAAGGCTACTCCTGGTTTGGGACTAATGTCTTGCTTTTGGTCTCATGTTTTGCAGGACGAAGCAGCACTTCCAGCAATTCTAGTAGATTTAACGTCAGACGAGAATCGGACGAAAGCAACCGAGACGGCTTGAGAGCCTCTGCAAGAAGAAGTCAGTCGAGACCTCGAAGTGATAAAACAAAGGCAGACATACATGCTTTTCAAGGCTTCAGGGATGCGAAACCCCCCGTGAATGGAAGACCACCCACCAAGAAGCCTTCGCTTCCACCGAAACAAAGTGACCGGAGCGTGAGCGGTTCACGCGAAGCTCGACCCGATCGCACGAAGGGCCGTGGCGATGCCCCCAAGACTCGAATGAGACGCGATTGTCAATTTAATGCTCCCGAGGCTGTGATACCCCTCAATCCGATGATCACGTCGACCCCGAACGTCAAGAACGAAGCGATGCCGGTCGGCAACACGACCCCGATGTCGAAACTGCGAAAGCCGGAGCCCCAGCGGCTGAAGTTCGGCCTGGTGTCTTCCGGACCGATCATCCAGAGCGTGACGTCCCTGGACGAACTGGACATCGACGAAACGTTGCCTTTAAGGGATTCCAGTCCCGAAGGGGACGACGAGGGACTCGTGATGGGTCATCTGAGTTCTGTGATGCCCGACGTGGTGCTCGGCTCGGTGAACGCAGGCGGCAGGGCTGACGTCTACAAGGTGGAAGAGCCCGAAGAAGATGACACCGGGATCTGGTCTCCCGATGAGGATTTCAGCATCAGCGACTTCATCAACTCTGGTTGGTTTTCAAGTTTCCATAGTTGTATGATTCATGACAGCCTAATTCCAGACTTTGAAATCACTTATGGGACTCAAATCATGCTTGAGTCTCCTAATTAATTGGGAATATCTTGAGAAAATTATCATAAAATATTTATTTCCTATACTACTTTTGAATTTATTTGAGTTTTCACGTAATAAGCAATGAGGTTGCAGAGACTTAGGACCCAGGAGCACTGCCATAACCTTTAGTTTGCTTCAACAGTACAGATCTGTTCAGGCACCATTTAGGAAAGGTTACTGGGGCCATTCTAGGGGATTAAGATTTTGTGACAAATGTAATTATCAGATCCTTTGCTGACCTTCTAAGTAATGTGCATGATATTTAGTCTCTTTGTGCTACTTTTAATTTTTAGCAATGAGTATTGTATGTAATCATGTTCATATTTTAACATTCAATTCTTTTAACATTATTGTTGATGAAGAACCATATGTGCAGGTAATTTTGTATAAGTACATTTCATACATATAGATTATGAATGTCAAACATTTGAAACTTTCAATGTTAGTTATGTGCCCTGCTTCTGTTTTAGATAAAGTACACTTTTGTATTTTATTTCTACTTATAATAGAGTTGCTCATCCTAGTTTAGCATTGACAGGCCAGATTTTACATTTTAATACTTGTCTCTGTAAGTGTATTTGGAGGCCATTTTAATGTAATAGCCATTATCAACGTTAATCAGATGCTGGAAATTCACATTGGATTGTATAGGTGCTGGAGAGACATGGTTGTTTCTCATCCCTCGTATCCATATGCAATAAGAACTGAAACTTGGAGTAGAGGGAAGATAATTGAGACATTTTGTTGTCATGTAATTTGGATCCCCATCAGCAACTTTGCTTTCTGTAAATATATTAAGAATTATGTCTATTTCTCATTTGCTATGGGATTCACACAGTCCCTTATCTCTGCTTCAAGAGCCCTCTCAAATGAAATTCATGTCCCATTTTTAATTTGGCAAATGTGTCATGCTTGCTGCCAAGCTTCTTTGGTGATTGATGGGGTTCAAAAGGGTTGAGTTCTATTGGTGTATCATTACTCACCCATGATCTGACAGTTCCCTCCCTGCATAATATTTCACCCATGGCCACACACTGGAGGCAACACACCGTAGGACCTCATTTGTCATTTTTATGAGTGCAGTGGGGGGTTATCGGGAAAAATGAGATTTGATGCGCTGGATCACCTTGTCCCACCTGGTGCCATGCTGATGAAGCAGAACATACAGCCATAATTTAATGATGCAAATATTGTGATTTGTCATCACAGAGTCGACATTCCAAGTGACCCTGGAAAAGACTGCCCAAGGCTTGGGGCTGAGCGTGACTGGGGGCCGGGAGGCGAGGAGCCACCGCTTGAGAGGATTTGTCTGGATCAAGAAGGTATTTCCGATGACCCCGGCATGGGAGCAGGGGATCCTTGCCCTTGGTGACATCATCCTCAAGGCCAATGAAATACCATTGATTGGGCTCACAGTTCCTGTAAGATTTTAATGCTTGCATTTCTACTTGATTTCATTTGCGTGAATGTAATATGGAGCTTTGATTTTCAGCTTTAAGTTGTTTAAACTTGTAGGTTTTCTGTTGAAGTTTGATCAGTTCACCATGGCAGTACTGGAATGTGCAGCATAGCTTAGTTTCCTTAATTTTTCCTGCAAATAATTTTACAAGTTGGTTGTTCATTTTAAACATGACTATTGCCTAACATGTCCCACTTGGGACCTCATTGCATGCATTTTTTGCAGTCACATGTTGAGTGCTGGTTACATGAGAAGAGTTCCAAGAATTCATTTTTACGTCTTACCCATCATTTTTATTCTATCACCCCAATGCCCTAAACATGACATGTTGGATTCTTGGAATCTTTTTTTCTGAGCCTTCTCAAAAGACTTGTGATATCTTTGAGATGCATGTAAACAGTATAGAGTAGAAAATGAGGTTTGTCTGGCCTTCTCTAGGAAGCCCTTGAGATCCTCAGAACGGCCCCAAAGCAGACGACGCTGATGGTGTGTCGCCTTCCGCCTCACTTCTCTCCGCTTCTGTCATCGAGCGAGACTGATCCCTCCTCACTCTCTCTGAGTCAGAAGCAGTCTCCATCAGGTTTCCTCTCACCATGTGGGGTGAGTTCCTTTGATTTTCATTTACTCATCATTTCAGGAAAATACTAATATAAAGGAAACTAAGCAGCCTACATGAGAGCATTGGTTGCTTAGGGGGAACAAATAATTTTTTTCCTGGTGTTGATTAAATGGTGGTCATTCCTTCTAGCCTTTGTCGATATTTTGACATATTTTATAGCATATACTATTTCATAAAAAGTTAGGACTTGACTCCTGCTGAATTACAAAGATGTAACTTTTTTTGTTCCCATTATTTCAGTTCCTTTTGCTAGCCAACAAATTGTTTTATCGAATGTTCTCCACTGTGTTATGGACTCTTTTTTAATGACAACTGATGAGATTGATTGTGGCAACTGGTTTTTGAGCCTGGGGAACTTTGGAGTTTTACTGTAAAGTAAACTTATGTATGGTTGGGATGCCCATTGCCATCATTTGACACTAGCTGGAGCAGAGATTGGCTACATCATATCCTTATAAATCTGGCTTTTTCCCCCCTGAAGGATGCAGGAAATTAACCTTTGCTAGATATTGGAAATCGTCTCCATGGATAGATTTTATCCCTACGATTTTTTTAGTTTCCTGAAAGAGATTAGAACAGGTATCACTGCATTTTCTTGGAACAGGTATGAGAAAGGTGGCATGTTTGATGCCATCATCCAACTCATGTCTCAGTCATGGAGAGAGATTTGATCATTCCATGTAATATGGTAACTTTTGTTATGGTGCCAGAAGCACCTGTTCCATTCCTTGGAAAAGAGACAAGAGAATCTGGAACTTGGCTGTTTCCCCATGCACCCATGTTTTTCTATTGTGGAGAGGGGGGGGGGGGGGGGAAGGCCTACATGTTTGTCATTCAATGAAGTCTTCCCTCAGTTGTGGTGCATCCAGTTGTCTTGATCATGGTGAAGATAGAGATGAAGATTTATGTTCCAGCTTCTATTTCTTCAACAGGAGTTTGAGGTGACATTGGAGAAGGTGAACGGCAGCCTAGGATTCACGTTGAGGAAGCAAGACGACAGCCGGCTGGGCCATTACGTCCGGGCCCTGGTCAAGGAACCCGCTCTATCCAATGGGCGTATCCTCCCCGGTGACAAGATCATTTCAGTACGTCAAGACATCATTATGCTTGTTCTCTGTCTGTCTCTGTATCTCTCAAACTTTGGTGAATTATAACTCTCAGTTTCGCTGGGGTTGAGTAGCCAGTTGTGAGTGGCTCCTTTTGATCACCTCATTGGAAAAATACAGGGTGAGGCATAATAAAACACTACATGACACATGCAAGATTGTTCTATCGATATTTATTTATTGGCACCTAATCATGACTTGGCCTTATCAGATGGTGGGCTTATTTGTAAAATTAATGTAATTAGTCATAAAGTTAAGTGTTGAATGTTTTTGTTTCAATAAAAGCATGCTGTGGTGTAATGATCATTATGCCCTACCCTGTGGATTTTAATCTAAAATCTTGACCTATACTGTTTATTTCTTCAGCAATTTTTTGTTAAGTGTATTCTCTCCCTCTTCCTAGCTAGCCAATTCCTTGTGGCAAGGTTTTTAAAGAGAAGCAACATTTTGTTGAAGTTGGAATAACATGACATTCACTAGATTGGCCATGAGTGGTATTTAGTTGTTAAAATGGATGCCTGCTAATAAAGAATTCCTTGTGATGTGTTGCAGGTGAATGGACAGGACATCTCAGAGATGAGTCACTCAGATGCTGTGGCCTTTTTACGGCAGTGTGCAGCAGAGGTGGTGTTGCGCCTCTATCGAGATCGTACCCAAACCCCGGTGTCGCCCCTCTCCCCGTGTGAATCAGAGTCCCCTGCCTTCAAGCCTAAACCTCTTCTTCGGTATGACTTTTATGTCTATTTTGTTTCCATTTTCCTCATTGCTGTACATCCTAAAGACTGATGCATTAACATTCTCAATTCCATGCCTTTATATATACAGTCACTGGAAAGCCTCTAAAACCAATCCAAGTAAGGTAATTTCACATGAATGAAAAAGTGGCTCTAGTGAACCTATATGTGTTCAAGTGGCACACTGCAAAGCTATAAGAATGCTTTAGACAATCGCTGAAGTAAACTGAGAATTTGCTCTTAACCAGAAGAATCAGCTGTTGACCTAAATTAGAAGCCCTTATTTTTTTAAATTTTAAATGCATATAGCAGAGAACATGGTCTACATGCAGCTGTATTCTCCAATATTATGACTTCTTTCATCTTTATATGGAAATTCATGAATGATCTTCATCTTTCCATTAATGAAGAAGAGGTATCAGTACTAATTTTGCACATAAGGTTGAGGTCTAGAAATACAATACTTGGATACATTATTTGTGAAAATATAGTAATAGGCACTTGTGAATGTTTGGGACTTGAAGGATTTGCGTAGCTTGAGCAGCTGTGCCATTTCGCCTAATTCATCTGTCAGGACATCTCACTTTCAGCCTGTGCATATGATGATTGGAATGGCTTGTGAATTTTTCAGGAAAGAGGCCCGTGACATGTTAAGCGGTCTGGCAGCGCAGAGAAGTGATTCACCAAGTGGATCTGGGACAGGGTCTCGCAAGGGGCGCAGACTCATTCGTGGATCTTCATCTAATCAAGACGACGATGGCGAGTCCTTCAGTCCTTCGCCGACAAGAAGACGCCGGGCTCCACCCATGCACAGAGGTGAGCTTGGTGCGCTGGTGTGAATTGTGAACTGAAGTTGAGGGAGATATTCTGTGGAACTGCAATAAGTTGCTGAATGTTGAAGTCAAAATTTCAGGCAATCTGAAAGAGATATACTTATGAATGCAAATGGCTTGTTCTGGATTAAGCCAGGTAACTTCCCTAAATTGGTTCAAAATGAGCAGATCTTATTATTTTTCTGATATTGCGTAATTAGTTTAGAGCAGTGGGAATCCTCATGTTTTTATGTCCTGGTCAAATTTGGAAGATGAGGAAATCATTAAATTCTGAGTGTTCAACTTATCTTTTTCCATGTTTGGAAATTAACAGTTGTAGTATTTAATTTTCTTGGCAGATGCAAGCACAGACAGCCCAACACCAGAGATGTTTGGTTCTCCACCTCGCCCTACAAGCCTTGACCTGGCATCCCCATCTTCACGGTCGTCCAGCCTCCGCCGGCAGCAGTTCATCCTTCCATCCCCGATCCTTGGTGACAGCCCAGATCACAGCCTTGCCTCTCTGCCTCCAGAGATTGAGCCCTCTAAGAAATTTCAACGAAACCATGAGTACATGTCAGCCAACTGGAACGAGAGGAGCCGAGGGGGTAAGACCGGTGATGGGGACATGGGACTCCTCAAGTGGAGAGGGACTGTCTTCGATGAACCCGACGATCACAATGACAGGCCCAATGATGCTGAAGAAGATGTAGTTGAGATAGGGATCTCTCCTGGTGGCGAGGTAATGCCCTTGCATTCTCTCTGTAGTCCACACTTCTAGAATTTAAAATACTCAATGGAGAATTTGTTATAGGAAAAGTTCTCTTTTATATGAGGAATTTAAAAGTGACTTCATTGCAAGGTTTTGCCAAACCAATTGGGGAATAATTATGAAAGCCACTGACAAAAGAATTGAAACACTTTGGGATGGAAATCATGAAACGATTTTCAAGAGTTACCCATGACAGTGCAGCCCTTCACTGAATTATGAGCAATCTTTCAGACAAAGAGTCACTGTATAGATGTAATTACTTATGATGACTCTCTAGAACCCTGACTTTGCCAGCAACCCTTTGTTGAAAAGAGAATGACTTGGTCCAATGCTGGTCACATTGGTAACATTACTGGATGGATGAAGAAAGCTGTGATAGTGAATGTCAAGGTCATTGTGCATCCCTGACTCACCTGGTGCCTTTCTGTTTCTATTGGCAGATGTTTGAGGTGGAACTGCACCGTGGCTGGAACAGTAGGCTGGGGTTTAGCCTCCACATTGGCGAGACCGTCCCTGAAACAACATGGTCCACCCGTGTCTCAGCTGTCCATCCTGATAGCGTCGCTGCCCGTGATGGACGCATTGCTGTCGGGGACTACCTCCTTGAGGTCCAAATCATTCTAATTTTGTCAACTAATTTGCAGGCTACAGCTCTTGTAATTGTCTTCACATTGTACTTTTGGCTGCTATCTCAATGAAGGGCAGCTTGACTAAACTTTCCTTGAAGTTACCATGGGCATTTGTCCTGTTTGTGTGAAATTGACTGCACTTGCTGTTTTGGCATTTTAGGAATCATTTCTGAACTGACGAGGAACATAACGCTGTGTGAATATTTTGTCAGCATGAGACATCAACTTATATATTCAAATTAACAGGCTCCATGTTGGCTGCTTCGATTTTTCCATATTCTATGGGATGTTGAGATTTAAAAATGTCTTGAACAGCTAATAGCTATTTTTAAACTGAGAATTCATCAAAGGTTAAGCTAGCCACTGCATGCTGCATTCAAAATATCCAGTCCGATGTATATGATTATTTGTTGTGGCAGGTACAATATATTATATGGATCTCAATTTCTTTGCATTCCATGCCAATTCACAGTGAGGATTCCAGTAGTGGCTTGCGCTAGGCAGTTCATGCTTATAGTGAATTATTCATTATTCAAATGCTTCTGGGATGTCTAAATTCCAAAATAATTGTAAGAGCAGCAGTGGGACTCTGACTCAACCCTTGCATTTAGCTTGATCATTGCCTCCATTCCCCTAATGCTCAAATTTTGCTGCACACTACAGGTCAATGGAGAGGACGTATCCGGACAGGAGACGGAAGCTGTGATAGGTCTGTTGCGTAAGCTGAGGGGCCACATCCACATGGTGCTCTACCGACCACAGACCGCCTCCACTTCGTGACCTTTTGCACCTCTGCCTTCCACCGTGTCCCGTCCATGATGAAAATTGGGATAGTCTTCCTCCTGTTCTCCGAGATCTAGAGGCAGATCTTGTGAGCATGTGCCATCGAAGCTATAAACAGTTAAGGGGATGTCAGTGGAAGGGTACAAGTGATCTGTGCTGCTTTTGATGAATATTGAATATATTAGTCTGTTTGCCATACTGTTCATTGACAGATCAATTCCATAACTCATCTTCCAGTACACAAGATGTGGGTGTGGTTGTGTTGAAATGCTTCACCTCTGTTCACATTAATGAGATTGTACTGGTGGTGAGAAAGGTGTTGATGTATTGTGTCGGAGTCCACTGTTGATGAAACTAGGAAAAAATGTATGGTTTCCTCCTATAAGCAAAGAAATAATTTTAGTAGCCATTAACTAATAACTAGAGATGCAACGATATATGACCTGCCGATAACCGATATTGAAATAACACCTGAAGTATGCCAACGCTAAGTATGTAAAGCAAATTATGAATATTCTCACCTTTTTCCCATTAGACATTTCACTTGACTCGAACACACGTTCATGGGACGATGGGACGATTACTCATGATGCATGAGTATCAAAGTCACGTGAAAAAATGTCCAACTCATGTGAAAACACTGCAGAAGGTTGAAAATGCCTAAATGACCCGTTTAAAAAAAAAAAGTATTAGGCTGCTGAAAATATAAGCATNCTTGACACGCGCTTCAAGATAGGACCAAACACATATACAACCAAATTAAGTTCTATTCCGAAACATGTCATCAAATAAAACGTACATATATGCACAAGAACTTTTGAGACACCCTAGTATTTGAATATTTATAATATAATGCATTACGTAAATACATTTGTAGATAAAAACTTCTGTAATATAATACATACGATTGATTGCCTTAGAAATTTTCCTGAAAAGCAGTTATGTTCGCATTTCATCTTCATGGAAAATTACCTGATGTGTTAATTTGTGTTAATGATGTGTTAATTTGTAGGTCATGTCTGTCTGGGTGTCCATTAAAGGTATGAAGGAAGGAACTTTGACATTCTTCACATTTTCTGAACTCTGAGTGCTACTTTGAAAAAAAAAAAAGAATTGCTATTCCACCTTATTGCAAGTTCTAGGATGGAACATAGGAAATAAAATGCCTGATGCAAATCCAATGTNTTTGAAAAAAAAAAAAGAATTGCTATTCCACCTTATTGCAAGTTCTAGGATGGAACATAGGAAATAAAATGCCTGATGCAAATCCAATGTAATATTTAAAAAATCCACATTGAGGAAAAACATTGAAGAAAACATTTCTTCTCACAATTGGAAAAATGGAAAAAGTATGAGGTGCACCACTGGGGCACCTCAAGCGTTCCCCATCAGACCTGGTCCCAAATAAAACTTAAAGGTGGAGGGATTTTTGCCTGAGGGTGGATTTTTGAACAGAGAACAATCTGATAATGCAGCTTTATTCTGGGGAAAAACACATATTTCCTGGAAATATGTATTTAGCAGCGTTATCAGATAGTTCACTGTTAAAAATCTGCCCTGAATATGTAAGTATAAATGTGTATATAGATATCGGTATCGGTATCGGTTCTTTTCCAATATCGGAATTATCGGTATATCGAATATCGGCCAAAATTCAATATCGTTGCATCTCTACTAATAACTAATAATAATTCTGTTGGGTATTGAAGAGCCCTCTATTATGCACCTAAGCACGAGAAGGGAGACTGGCAGGGGAAGCCATTCTGTTCCACTCTGTATTCGCGAATCCATTCCTTTCCTCTGCCTTGCGAAGTAGTCTCGGCTGGATTGGGATCCGAGCCTGATGATCCCGAAATCGACGTCTGAGGGAAGCGAAACCCAATGATCGATTTTACTTAACCCATCTGCATCAAATGACGTACAGGTAATTCCCGCTGCGCCTTTCCCTTGTCACCGATGACGCAATGGAACGCGGAGTTGTTCGTGCAAAACTGAAGAGGAAAAACTTGTGGATAGGACACGGTCTCCTCTTCCCTAGTTGTTTAGTCCATTTTCTCACAACGTCAGGGAGACACGAGAGGGGCCACGAAGGAAGACCAATCACTTGCGTCATAACCGCTGTCGAGCGTTAAGAGAGGAATTAGAGAGAAAATTTATCATGTCTATTGTTTAGCTTCAGGTAGCCAATTTTATGGGGTTGTGAGTTTTTATGATGATGATGGCTGATACTTATGATGAATAATTGGAATTGGATGCTGAAAACGATTCGGATAAGGATTCATGTGATGCGACTGAGACTGAAACTAGTGAAGAGAAATCCTCCCATTGAATCTGACCTTTATGAATCGAATCCATATCCCCCCCAGAGCTTAAAGTTCCAAAGACAGGAAACAAGCTGAAATGGAAAGACACCCAATTGAACCTTGTAACAGTGATACCTTTCAATGGACAGCCCGGAATCAATCAGGCAGCAATGAACGCTGCAGCAAAGAGGCATACATATTTTGTTGTTTCTTTAGTGACTATTTTTGATCACATAGTGACCGAAAGTAGCCACTTTGCGAAAGGCAGTTTCACTACAAACTTCGCTGCCTTTGACAAGAGATGAACTTGTGGCCTACCTTGCCCAGTGTATCCTAATGGCACTGATATACCTCGTATGAGCGTATCGTCCAATCTTACTGGTCGCTCAACGAACGCAACGAGAGACACCATTTTTCAACGAAGTCAAGCCTAGCGTGAGGTTTGGTTGCCATATGTAAGTACCTGGACTTTGCCAATAATGTTACATTTGACTCCAACGATCAAACTGAAGGAAGTTCGGTCAGTTCTCGATCTTCTTCAAGATGAATTCAAAGTGCTCCATAATCCAGGGAAAGATATCTCGATGGATGAGTTCACGATAGACGTGTCCATTAGTAAAACACGAATTGCAGGAACATCAGTTCAATTATATGTTTCATTGTTTCATTTTTCCCGTTTCGCTCCTGATATTGAAAGTGTCCATCCGTCTTTCTTCTCCTCGATTTCCCCACCCGAATCTCACTATTCGTCTCCTGTCTATGGGCGAGAACGAAGAAAAGCCCCTGAAGATTGAAACGAAGGAAAATTTTTACCCCGTTACTTCCTTTCGATAGCGACGTAATGCCCCCATCGATGCAAGCGATGAACACAAGATCAGTTTCTTCAAATCGGGTCCGTCCACTCTTTGCAGTTGCTTCAGCATGTGCCCTGGTGCCGTTTCGGTCCGGTTGATCGTCTGAACCGATTTGATCCTTTTTAAGACGAGTATTTGAGCGAATCGTTTCCATGCGACGGCTTTGCCTCTTGTTTTCTTTTGCAACAATAACGAGCCAAAACGCTGAAGTGCTTTTTCGTTTCCGTTTCATGTTTGGATTTCAGCCGAACCGGGGCCGCTTTTATTTCTCGTTTCAGGCACGTTTCATCCACGTACGAAACCTGAGAGCTGATCGAGACGAGACCGAAGACTTTCCAGGTAGTCCATCAGTTCGAGTTTTTAATGCTGAGTCTTTTTTCCCGACGTTACATCGGAATCGTGACGAAACTAAGAAGAAAGACTCGCTCAGCGCTTCGTCGAAGATTTGTCTCCCCATTCGAGTGAATGCCATTGCGGAGTGTTGGCTCGAAACTTTTGGAGCACCGGCCTCTCGTTCGGAGTTTCTTTATCTCTTCGGCGAAAGGTCAATACGATAAGAAATAAGCGGGATTCTGAGAGATAGCCAGAATTACGTGAGGACTCGAGCCGGAATCCCCGATACGGATTCGGCTCACGAGACGATCTCACCGAATATGATCTCATCCTCTGCAATTAAATGGAATGGGACTGATTGAATGGGGCAAATGAAAGTTAACCATGCATGATGACATAAACATAGACTTTTTAAATAAGTGGAGACCCAAGTTCGAAAGAAAACCTGTTTTTTTTTTTCAGGACTCATGCATTAGATCTGGAACAAACATCGATACATTGTGGCACGGCCCTTTGCCCTATGGAAGGTGGCAACGCATTGACAAATCAAGTGGACGAGATCGGCTATCCTCATTTGTATGAATGCAACCGATACCTGGTGCATAATCTGTATCAGGGATTCTGGGGATGTGTCTTTATCGACTCGATTTCGCAGGGATCGGTCGAGAAGAGTCCACACGTGCACAATGGTGTTCATGTCTGGCGAATGGCCGGACCATGAGGGAATGGTTAATTCTTGCGTCTCATATCACCTATGCCTTGCACTCGCAGTGTGAGCTGGGGCGCCATCAATAATAATGCCTTTTTTGAACTGATGGGCATTGGTATAGACGGGCTGAAGTCCCTTTTCGAGAATGTTGGTATTGGGACATCCCATAAGTAATGCGGTTTTTCCGAGAAGCTTGCAATAAACCAATTGGTTATGGAATGTAGGTATGCATTTGAAATAAATACTGATCTCGATACGAACTTGTCTTTATTTTCGTATCAAATTTTGATGAGTGTACGTACTTATTATTCTGTCCTTTCGTACAATTTAAAATGGAAGTGACAAAAGAACATATTCGGCATATTATGCTGTACGAGTATAGAAAAGGCAACAACGCGACGATAGCTGCAGAAAACATATGCCAAGTGTACGGGGAAAGAACAATTAGTATAAGTCAGTGTCAACGGTGGTTCCAAAAATTTCGATCTGGGAACTACAGTCTCCAGGATGAGCCTCGTGCAGGAAGACCAGTGGAGTTCGATGAAGACTTTTGCTGCAAATCACAGCTGAGCAGAATCCCATTGTAACCATTGAAGAACTGGCTGAGAAACTTCATTGAACCCATTCCACCATTAACCGGCACTTGAAAAACATTGGAAAGGTTCCCAGATTCGAACAAAGGGTATGAGACGAATTGTCGGTAACCAATCTCTAGGAGAGGATAGGTGTGTGTTCGAGTCTTCTTTCCCGGCTGAAGAATGAGTCGTTCTTGAATCGGATTGTTACGGGGGATGAAAAGTGGGTTTTGTATCACAATGTTAAAAATTCACAGACAATGGGTCAGCCCCAGAGAAACACCACAGCCGAAACAAAGACTTCAGCCAAGGAAGATTTTGTTGAGCGTTCGGTGGGATATAGATGAAATCATCCACTTCGAACTGTTGGATCCCAACCAAATCATTACTTAGGAACTTTATTGCATGCAAATTGCCGTTTGAAGACAACACTGGACTAAAAACGACCAGCTTTGGGCAACAGGAGAAGAGTTCCCGTCGCCACATGCGCGTCCGCATGTGGCGAGGGTTACGTTGCAGAAACCGGAAAACTTTGACTGGAAAATAATGAACCATCCACCGTATTCACTGGACATCGATCCATCAGACTACCACCTGTTCCGAAGTCAACAAAACCACTTGGAGGGAATGGAGACGGCTACCATAGATGAAGTCAGAACCGAATTGGAGGAGTTTTTCGAGTCCAAACCAAGGGAATTTTACAAGGGAATAGAAAGTTTACCAGAAAGATGGAAAAAGCCATTTTGGTAAACTTTTACCCTAATTGTGTCCCATGACGCACTACAGTGTGTGTCCATTGATACGTCTGGATTATGGCCTGGCGACACGGAGTAATGTATCATGAGGCTGGGCACATTTAAATGCGCCTACTGATGTAGTAAGATGTCCCAAAATACATGTTTCAGTACTTCAAAACCCTTGAAACATTATTCCGTGTCGCCCAGACGATCCAGGACCCACTTTTGTGCATCTTTTGACACAGTGATTTTTTCCTGTGTAAACATTGCTAAGCCTTTGATGGAGACAATTCTATATGCCGTTCTAGAACAGCACGTACTAGTATAACGCCATAACAATGCACATGGACGAGCGGGAGACAGAACAATGCAGGACTTGACCTTCCACTGCATGCACTAATTATAGCACATTTCATGCAAAATTCACCTTTTCATGTTCTATGGTATATATGCAAGTTCACTTCCTCATTCCCTTCCCTTTGGGAGAAGAATGATCATTCCGCCTTCAGGATTAGAAAATGATGGACGAAGCCCAATGTCATTTTCCACTTATTGAAACTTCCTTCTGATTTGGCGAACCTCGTAAAGGGTTCTCATGGGGAGTATGAGCTTGCTTATGGCCTCGGTTCCATGATTCCGTTTCGAAAATGGGGGAGAAAGAAGAAACAAATGAAGTGTCCTCTTCTATAGATTCCTATAATAAAACTAGAGAAGACACATTGCGAGCTACTAAACACTCCAGTGTGGGACGATTCCATGGAAATAGGGAAGGACACTTTCGTGCACTGTGCTAAAGCGAGATTCATATCGCCGTCAAAGGGCTTGGAGAACTTTGACGTATCCCAAAAACTTACAAGTGCAACTTGAGCATATTGGATCATCGAGTCGGCCGAATGGCAATATTGTGGAGCCAATATTAAACCGATATTGGCAATATTGGCCAAGTTGGTGCCAACGTGCCCAACGCCGGCCCAACGATGAACCAATATCTGGTGCTACTAGAGAAACTGTCTTGATCGTGTGAATTGGTGCATTTAACGCAAGTTGCTGTCACCAGACACGCTACATGTTGGACAAGTCCTCCAAAGGAATCTGGTCAGGGACCAGAGAAGGCCGTGATGAAGCTCGCATTTTCTTTGGAGTTCTGCCTCATGAGTCAGTCATGACACCTACACGGTTTCCATTAAGTCATTTATCATAGGCAAAGTTGATAAAGTGTGTATTTTACTATTAGAGATGTTGAAAGCGCTGCCACTAACCTTCCTGACCACACAGCAGGCGCAACTCCAGTCTTTCTTCTTTCATCAGGGTCATTTCAAATCAATAACTCACCTGTACATTAAAAAGGAATATATTATCAAAATGTATCTATGATGCTGGACTTCATGGACACCCTGTATACGTAAGGTTGATATGTTTTATCTATCACAGGATAGGACTTCTCAGTTCCACGAAGAGGGCATAAAAGATAAGGCGTTGAGTGCCCCATATCCCGCCATCCTTCTTTCTGCGTAGGCAAGCCATTTTGTTTGTGGAGGAAAAAGAAGTATTTGCTTATTACATGTCATTGCGATGCCCCTTCTAACAATATTGAGGTGATCTGTCCACGTGAATTAGGTGTGATTTCCTTGTCATGACTGTTAGGTCGCTATGCCTTCAGTACCACCCAGCGATCAGCCAATTATACATGAAGTTGGTACTAATGTTTCCGGATTGATCTTTCGCCACCTTCTGAGCAGTCAGGTATGTACAAGGCTTATACTTTCACCCTGTGAAGCTCATGGCTCTACGATAGTTCCATCCCTTGACACAGCAGCTGATCCCTCCAAGAAAGGCAGTATCAAGATTGTCTGTCTTATTCGATTCGGATTTGAGAATGAGGCATATTCCGTTTTATTAATTTAAGATAAAACGGTTTCAGAATTAAACTCCTCTGATATAGGGTTCATGCACGAAAACAACTACCTAATGCAGCTATGACAACAATGTTGCATTAACGTTAAAAGGGATGCAAAATCAATCCTAATAAGACGCTTCACGAGTCGTACGTCCATGAACCTCGGTGTAGCTACATGTTTGAATATAATTTGCAGCAAAAATAGTTCCAGCTCTAATACCTTCGCAACCATCGTTTTTTAATTAGAGATTCATGACACTAATAACAGGATTCTGGAAACCTGACAACAAAGGGAACAGGCAATTCAAAGATGGAGGTTCACATCAATGAAACAAATGGCAAGTAACACCCAAAGCATCAATTTCTTTAAAGGAAGTAAACTATTGGGGATTTAGAACATGTCGAAATATAGGATGAATGATATATCTGCATTGGTCCGACTTGAAAAAGGAAAATAAAAAAACATTTGTTTCCCTCAAGCGATGGCGAATTGTTCAGAAGAGGAGCTCCATGTGGATGGAAAGACAGTTGCCGATATAATGGCCAAATACACGGAACGTTTGAAGTACCTAGAGCACATGAAAGTGATAGAGCTTCTGTGGAATAAGAAAGTGATCGATCATGATGAATATGTTAGTATTCAGAAGCCAGAGATGGACAGAAGACTATTCCTTCAGGAAAAGTTGCCAAAGAAAGGAGACACAGCATTCCAGAAATTCTTGGAATGCCTCATCGAAATAAACCAAAAGATCCTTGCTAAGGACATGCGACGAGGTGAGTTCTACAAGTCAAGCCTATTGCGTTGGTTTATCATTCCTGGCTAAAGTCGTTTGCCGCAGCGAGCACTGCCAGGCAGTACGTTTTGCTGTAGGGAGGGGGCTATTTGTTTCACATTGCTGGCACAACGGAAAATTGCTCCTGCTGCATCTCACACTTTAGGCTCTGAAAGTGTTGCTCACTGGTGCTAATGCAGAGGCGAGGCATTTTCAGGAATTATTTGTTAGTATTCTGACCTACATGCGCTAAATTCCCTTTGTGCTAAAGTCGAAGAAGTTCTTGGAAATGGCCATCCTGTTTCAGAAACAGTGGTACCTGTAACATAAACTAATGCTTATAACCCATGCTTATAAAAAAAAACCTATGCTTATAAGCTAATGCTTATAACCCAATCGGTGATGTAAGAGTATTGAATATGCTGGGACGACGAAATCAGCAAAGTCGTCTTGAGTCCCATGAAAACCTACTAATCCGAGGCGTTCACAATTTCGATTGTGGCAATGAGCTCGAATATCATGATGATGGTGTTTAGACACAAAATTTTATTGTGTACTGTAAGCTGTATGTGTATAAATCTAATGAAGCAGTTCAGAATCCAATCCAGTTCCAAATGGGTAATGCAATGAACAGAGGATGTCAAGGAGACGTTATACTCATAATAGGCAGACATTAGGCCGCAGGCCGCTAGTGTATCTTAAAACATTGAGGAATAAATAAACCAGACGAAGGGCGGTTGTCGCAGAGGACTTGCATCTGTCTGCATGGCACGGTGATCGTGTCAGCTGTTTGGATCGTGGCGGGGCCACGGCCTTCAAACAGAAATAGGTTGATGGTCGGAATGGTCCTCTTAAGAGTTACGTCTCTTTGATGGCAAAACTTCATGTAGCGTTGGAGTGGACATTAGATGCACTATCTGTTTAAAGAAAGTGGTGGAGAAATGTTGGTTATATTTAGATGATGGGACCACCTTAACCCCTTCAACATTCCAGGAAGAATAATTTTTCATGAGGAACCAACTTGGAACTAAGTGGGTATGATGGAAACTTATAACTGAAGAAAAAGCAGGTTGGAAATGTGATAGAGTGCTTCTGTAAATGTCAATTGCCCTTACACCTTCCGACCATAAAAACCGTATCCGTTCGTCGTTCTTCTAAGGCACATGTCCGGAGAGGCGCTGCCATTATTCACTATTCATCGGAGGTATCTACCCACTGCCATTCGTGGCGCTGCCTTATCTGTGATGCACAGAAGAGATCAACCTTATATGGCTTATACAGAAACCTTTTGAATATTTAGGTCACAGTCACTAAATGCAACTGACGTTCATGAAGGTGGGCGAAAATTGGTTACAAGAATAATAAAAGCCCAATACAGTGAATGGGAGCAATCGTTTGGAGAGTGTGACTACATATAGAATGGCAACATTTAAAAGCGCAAAAAATGATGCTTCATTCGATTATGATGCCTATCAATTTCGTTGTGCGAAAGATGAATGCGATATTAGAGAATTGCAAGATAGCAAATATAATTGCAGGCAATATGTCTCCTTCCAAACAACTTCACATTTTCCCAGCTTATGCTCATGCTTCGCACTCAAAGTGGAGTTATCTCGACAGAACTGTTGATTAATACGTTGGTTTTGTTTAACCCTGGAGGGAATAAATCTCACTGCTAAGAAAGGATAGGAACCTTGTACGGTTAAGGCGTCATGCAATTCAATTTGATGCATGTTGTACGTTTATGCATTGGAAGTGAATAAATTTTCCTACCTAAGAGGCCCAACGGACTTCAGCTGTAAAATTTTTTCAAACGAGTCGTTCTTCTCGTAGTGAATGTACTATAAACTCGCAATTATAGAGAACACGAGAAAAATAATAAACTACTTACATTTTCTTGTAATATAAAAACTTGTTCCATTAAGATTCTCAAGACCTATAAGTTGCCTTTCTAGTAAGGCAACCTCTCCCCTGCTACTTGGGTAGCTCCGCGCTATCGCAGAGATGTCTAAGTAGGTGCAAAATTACGAATAACTCGCGATTTCCAAGGGGAAATTAGGCCATACAAAATGCGTTCATAGAACACATTTCAGAACGTGGTGGGGAACTCCCCCTCCTTCACCCTCCTGACCAGAACTTATAGGGCAAGACAGCAGCTGCTGACATAAGGTTCCTTTGGTGAACAGATTTGGAACTTCTTTTGACGAATTCTTCCACCGAATGCATGGACTCAAATGGTAACCAGGATTCAACATTTCATCACGCATATTCAGTTCCCAATATTTCCGATCGTACTTCCAAAAGGGACCAAAGAAGGTGAGTCTCCGTTTCTCACTCTGAAATGCTACTTGGGCAACGGCAGCACATTAGAACACGAGCCATTCGTTGTGTACCTTTACACCAAGAGCACAATGCATAATAAATATGGGATGAATCTAAATTTCTGTTCACCTTTTGAACGTTGATAACTTCTCAACGCTAGAGATCCGGTTTTCAACATTGGAGAGACTAGGCAATTCTGTACCTAAGGAGGAATTTTTGCATTTTTTTGCTAAGGTATCCTCCGGAAATGAAATTCCTATTCTGGGGGTCATCGAAACGCAAAGACACCTAAAAACATGCTTCCAGCACTGCGTCTACTTTTCTGTTCGACTGTCATAGGGCGTCCAGATCGGGGAGGGTCTACTAGGGTTCCCGTTCTCTCAAACTTCGACTTGATACGGGAGATCAACTTGCGGTTCATTGTTACTTCGATGAATTTTTTTCCTGAATTGTCGAGAAGTGTTCGTCTCATTCAGAGTTAAACATTTGCGACTTGCTTATCAATGGCCGGTCAATCGTTTATAAACCATTTTGCTCAATTCTCCGTGATTTGGAATTGATCACAATGAAGGCATAATAACTCTGACACAAAATCAGTCGATTGGACGTGGTGCCACAAGCGTATTTTCAGGTGTCAAAGACTTTACATAGTCCCCATTATATGAATTTCGTTTTCGTAGTATACTATTGGCAAAATAAATGAATAAATCCAGAATTGTAGAGTCTTTCGAAGGGTGAAAACCGCATCTTCATCAGACCTAGCGTTGGAAAGTTATTAACGTTCAAAAGGTGCGCAGGACTTTTGACACACCCTCTATATTCAATGAAGACTGGGAGCGGGAACAAATTGCATATAGCAGTGCACTTCTTCATTTAGTTCAAGAAGGCTGCTCTGGCTTCAAAACGTGGCCAAGAAAAGCATAATGTCTTACGTCCTCATAAAGAACAGTATACTATTCCCCTCCGATCAAATCAGGAAACTTTCAGGAAAATAATACCAAATTACGACTAAAGACGGGGCTTCGAGCAAGGTGTCATTTACTAATCAAAGAGATGATCTCACTTTATGGAATATATCTTTTCCATTTCAGGCTTCATGTGAGTGAGGATCTATTTGATGGAGAGGCATTCAAGCAGGTAAGAGATTTGAGTCATTGAATGGAACCATACGTTTTCTGCCTTTCCCGAACGAAATTATCGTTACTCAACGGCAAAGTGACCGAGTCTTGTTGAATAACTTCATGTCAATTCAGTTCTGTTCAAGTCTGGAATAAGGTAATACGGCAAAATATCTCTTGTGGGTCCATCCTTTTTCGCTGATGCAGGTGTTGCAACAGCTGGTTGTTGTCGTTCATGAAGGTCAAGTGTCTCATTAGCGAATATGAAATGTGGATGAGCTAAAACATATTTTGTGCGTGCTACTACTGCGAAAATAACAAAATCCATGCTAAGAAATGCATGCAGGCGCATATTCCACCGAGTTTCTCTTTGCTTTGAATATGATGGAGTCCACAAGGAAACTGGACTATTAAGAACGTCAGAGTAAGTTTAAAATATTACCCTACTTATGAACTGCTCGTGACTTACGGGTCTCCCTCCCAGTACAAGAGGGTTATACAACTTGGTTTCACTGGAATCATACTAAAATGCATTAAGACCTTACTTATCATTAGTGATCAAACATTACTTATGCGGACTACATACTCCTTCAAATTTCATAACAAGACATTCACATTCAGCTGGAGAATGAAAAGAAAAATCTGGAAGCATCGAATCAGAAAATGGCGAAGGATCTAGACGAGCGAAACAAAGAACTTGAGGAGAGAACAAGAGAAACAGAACGAGAGAAACAGAAGTTCGAGAAAGACCTCAAGGAAAGCAAAGATAAGGTCTCTTATACTCTCTCTACTTTTATTTTGAATGGTTCAGTGGTAAAAGAATGACTTATGTTTCCAGGTAGATGAGCTGCAGCTGCAGCTTCGGAACTCGGAAAAAAAAGCAGAAGACCTTGAGAGGCAGCTCAAAAAGGAACAGAATACCTACAGAGTGATAGAGCGAGATAAACGTACAATCGAGAAGGAGCTCCAGGAAAGCAGAGATCAGGTCTCACAATCTATTCCACTCCTTTCCGTCATATGGGTCTGTCCACGATAAGTGGTCTGAAGATTTGTAGCAGGCATTTTCTTGAAATTTGCGAATATTTATTTCCCTACATAATTTTATAATCTCTTTTCCTGAAAGCACAAAATAATGAGAATATAATCTATGAAGATGAGAGACTTAGTCATTTTCATTATGGAGTAATCGCACCATTCTCATGATGTTCATGGATATGATGTAAATGCAAAATTGGAAATTAAATTGGATAAATTGAATCGATGCCTGTATTGATTCTCCCCTGTGTATTGTTAGTTTCAAATCAGCGTTCAGTGTTCAGTGAGGATGTCAATTCATATTTGAACAATATTTAAAAAACAGCACAAAAAAATATGCACTGTCTTCTACATTTACAGTTAATTTTTACATGTCATATCCGACACGGTAAAAAATAAACCCTTGCTTTACTTTTGGAATTCTGTAATCTTGTGATGGCTTACACTAATATCAGGGTTTCATTTAATTCATGGAATGAACATAACAAGAAATTGATTGGTTCCTCTTCATAACAGGACAGTAACTATTGGAGCAAGTGACTTAAGTGTCACGAAATGCTATATTCAACACTTTCATCGCAAGCAGATACAGCTCTAGCAGTGAAGAATATGCAAGACTTGCCTTTTGGAATTTTTAGTAACTGCCGTAGGACAATAGTTGCAGCCTTTATATATTGATTCGTCATTTATAATCTAGTTAAATACGTTTCATATAGCTAAGACATTACTCCGGATGTGACGTGGGGCACTTTGGACAGGCCCATGTCATATTTTCTAAGGAGTCGGAGATGAGAGAATAATTCATGATTCCAGGCAGCCAAGCAGATGTTGCATATGTCGGCCGTGGAGAAGAAAGCAAAAGAACTTGAGGAGCTGGTCAAGAGGGAACAGAATGCGTATGGAGAGTTAGAGAGAAATAAACGTAAGATCGAGAAGGAGCTCAAGGAAAAGGTTTCACATTTCATTCTATTCTCATTCGTTTGTTGAAGCAAATTCACGACCAGAGGTTGGGTTCTGATAGGTCGACGAGCTGCAACAACAATTGGACAATATGAGGGAGAGGCCAAAACCGCCTCGCCGAAAAACCATAGCTCCGCGTACCCCTTCACCCCATCAAGATCTTGGAACTCAGATGTCGAGGGAAGATCAAGAAGTCTCATTCCAATCACAGTCAACTCGGGTACTCATTACTTATATTTCTTCCAAGTAATGATAGGGGAGAGTGAGTTCCTTAAGTCATTTTCAGACCTAATCAAAGGCTTAGTGATATCAAAGAAGAGAGTAAGAAAGTGCATTTTACCGTGGAAAAGCCACCAATGCGTCATGATATAGACGAACGAACTGGTCAGTTATACAGAGAATCCAGCGAAAGCCTGACTGAAGGAGAGAGCAAATTATTCAATTCTAAATAGTCATGGAGACGAGTAGTAAGAATTACTTCTAAGAGTTTTTGAAGAGAGCTGAGGAGGTTAATAGGGCGAAAGAAGAGGAGTCTCACTGGTCTTTATCGTGGATCATAGTAATTATTTTGTACTTCCACGCTAGAGGGACATGATCTAGGCGGTGGCAGGCGTTATAAATGAGATAGAGTGAAGAGCACGCTCTGGGAGATGCTTAATACCGTTTACAAAAATATTATCAGGGCCAGGGCTTTATTAGAAGAGATTTTGACCGCAGCCTCAATCTCTTCAAGCGTTATATCGTTTATGAGAGCTTCCTGAGCAGGAGAGAGCTGCTCGGGTATAGGAGGGAGGTCAGAAAAGGGAAAATGCACGATTTTACTTTTGAGATCGAGGCTTTCCTCTAGCGGGTCAGGCCCCAGAGAGCGGCGGGGTTCAGTTCTAGCTTCCAGCAAGGTAAATGCAAAAACTGAGGCTTTGCTCTCATCACTGCAGTGAGTCCCGTCGTCGTATTTAAGGGGTGTGTCATGATTATTTCTAGAATTACCAACTCTTCTAAGTAGCTTCCAAAAGGTTGCTAGATCCTCTTCATTATTTAGCTGCTCACAGAACTTATTCAAATACTGAGCGCTCTCGTTCTTAATGAGGGTTTTAATCTCGTGATTAAGTTCATTTATTACTGGCTTGAGGGCGGGGTCTTTATTACGATGGAACAAGCGATGGAGTTTCCTCCGCTCATCAATCTTAGAGAGGATTTCAGCCAAAAGAACATACGGTTTACTGGAAGAAGTCATCTTAGGGACGGCAACTAGGCAGTTTTAATCACTTCAGTGATGAGAGTGACAGCTTCTTCGAGTTGGGGGACGGGATCGAGAGGGAGAGTGCCGGGGAGGTCTCTACGTTATCCTGGAAACTATGCCAGTCGGAGTTACGAAAATCAAAGCGAGGGAGGGTAGTGTGAGAAGGGGGCTGATGTGAAAAGTTAGTTAACTAAAAGGGGTTAACTAAAACTAAAACTTAAAACCTACGTCTTCTCCTATGGAGAAATTGCGGTAAAAGGGAGGAACTGTGCGTTGCCCAGTGCAAGATCAATTCTGTACGAATTTCTTTTACTGGGACAGTGGTGGGCAATGGCTGGGACAACTGTCATATAAGATGGTAAAGCCGCTGGAAGCTATGAAGTTGCTGAGAATGCGACCTGCTGCAATGGGTTCATCACTAAATTCATTCACAAAGTTCATCACTAGGACGTAATGAGGAAATTAAGGACTGAAGTTACAATTACTGCGCAGAACATTAAGGAGTTGACATTCTCTTGAAATATACTACAATCAGTACCTTCAGGGACGGTCAACCTCTGTACTGTTCTATGTTTCCTGCTTATGCACAGTAGAGACTTGTGCATGGGCAAGGGGTTATATTGGTACAGGCCGTACTAGTACTGTATAGTGAAACGCCTTCACCATTGGAATGGCTCTACTGGAAAAAAAAAATTAGGGAAAATATTAACGCCAATATTGGCCTCTTGTGCATGGGCAAGGGGTTATATTGGTACAGGCCGTACTAGTACTGTATAGTGAAACGCCTTCACCATTGGAAGAGCTCTACTGGAAAAAAAAATTAGGGAAAATATTAACGCCAATATTGGCCAGATGTTTTTCCGTGTAGTAATGCCAACAATGGTCCAAGATGGGTGCCAATGCAGAGCCAAGATCTTGGCGGATCTTGGCGATATATATTGCACCAATATTGGGGTGCTACTGGGGTTGGAGCGGTCTATTCTGAAAGCAAAGCGAGAACCATGCTGCCATCTATTGGTCCGGATGAGAACTTTAATTCTCGAGTAATTTCAAGTGCAATTGAGGTGCATTGGATTGTGCCATCCGTTTGAATGGAATTAATGATGGCAGGGCAATATTAGGGAGACAAAGCTTCGCCAAAATTGGCAATATTGGCGAAATTGGCAATTTTGCGTGCAGCCGATATATGTCGAATTAAATTGCAAGGCAACCTGGAGCCTTAATTGGGCCTGTGTCTCTTGCCAATGATGCGCCTATAATGTGAAACCAGACTAATCCCATGAATGGGCCTGTGTCGTTTGCCAATGAAATGCCAATAATGGGAAACCAGCCAATTGCCAAGAAAGGGCCTATGTCCTCCGCCAATGAAGTGCCGAAAAATGGCAAGCCAAGCTAGAGTCAGGAATGGGCCAAACATACCTGCCAATGCCGATGATTTGCCGAGCTTGCCATGCAGGAGCCATTGTTGGGGCAAGCATTTTGGTTATGTGGGGCGGATAGTTAAGCGCCGGCATCGAGTACGCGCTGAAGCTTGTTTGCTGTTAAAGCTCTTCCTGGATTTTCCTCGCAAGCGGCGAGTTAGAAAATCTCAGGTCACTGGCGATCTGTCGCCGTTTTTCTTGCCGTTTGGGGCAAGCGGCGGAGTTCGCCACATGAGCTCCTTGGCAGTGGCTGCATTTAGGATGCAAGCGGTTCAGCTTTCCCTGGCAGTTTACGTCAGTTTACAGCTTTACATTGGCCGATGCAATGGCCATATTCCAGGCATTTAAAGCACTGGATTATACGCGGTTGAAGCACGAATTCTTCAACTCTGAGGTAGAGGCAGCTGATCGTAAGAGATCCTGCTTTTAGGAGGGCGCGAGCCGTTTCAGTAACAAGTGCTTTCACGAGGATCATGTGGAGGGGCGCGCCTACCTTTGTCTTCCTCATCCGCATGAGGCCGCCTTCATGGAGAGGAATTCCATGCTCGGTTGCGAGGACGTCAGGGATAATTTCCACGCCCTCTTCGGGTCCAACTCCCTTTACAACGAACTTGATTGCCTACCTTTTGCAGGAAAGACCTCTCCGCCAATACCGGACTCATTCCACCTCCTACAAATCCTCGGTATGTCAGATGCCTTTTCAAGGGTCAAGACGAACCCTGCAGCGGATGTCGAGCAGCCGGACGGGTGGGAAAAAGGTGGAGAACGGGCGGACAAACGAGATATTTTGCTAGTACTTACCTGGCATAAAGACAGGGTCTTCAAAGAAGTAGCTCTTAGAAGATTCGGGTCGGCTTGGGTTGATGCTACCGCGAGGCGCATAACTGGAAAGAACTTCGCGAGGCGAGCAAGAGGAAATTGAGGATTTCGTCGGGTCGAGGGAGGCGTGGGCGAGTGGGTGGAGGTCAGGTAGGGAACGGGGCTGGCGTAACTAGGAGCCGGAGACTTTTGAGGAGTAAGAGGTGGGGGCGAGGGTGTTCGTGAGGAAGAGCTCGCAGCGGTTGGAGGGTGCGAGGATGCGACAGGGGAGAACTGCCGCCTGGAGCGAGGTGAGGGGTCTGAGGTGACTGAAGGTGTGGGCGGAGGGGCGCCCTTTTTCCGCGTCCTTCTCTTTCCAGGCATGATATATGCCAGGAAAGAGAGATGAGTAGGAAAAACAAAGGAGGAGTACAAAGGAAAGAAGACAGTTCGGAGACAGAATAAATCAATGAGGGCAGGCGAGGGGTCAATGTCATTTTGCCATTCCAGTAAACTCCTCCTAGACGGATAAACGGATTTTCATGAGTGGTGCCAATCGAAAGCTTAGTACCTGGACGCGATACTTATTGGGGTAAAAAGTTTTAAAATAACTGTGAACGTGTTTTCTAAGGGTTCTCCTGTCTTTGGCGCGTCAGAGGCCTGCACGGATTGACTTTTCCGAAATGAAACTGGATTCGGAACTATAGGAATTGTGGCCCGCACCCGACCCGGAACGCGATCATCGATCGATCATTGCTGCTCCAAGCTGTGGATCATGTTGTGCTGATATGGCCGGCCCGCATCCCGCTTAGGCCTCTAAGCTTGAGAAAGCCAAGTTGAGGCATTTGATGACGTATTTGCCCCAAGGGGAGGGGGGTCGAAGGGACCCTCGCAGATCTGCGCAGAAACGCATTTTTGGGTGGAACGCTTCAGAATGAAGGGCATTCTGTGCAAGCAGACAGGGTGGCGAAGCGTGTCTTTGGCATGGGAAACCGTGTAAGGAAGAAAACTTCTATATAGGCCGGAAAAACCTCTTTCTTAGGGATGGGTTTTGTGAAATCGATG